AAGTTTCAGATTCACAGGCCCTCCCCTCACCCAGGACTGGGTTTGTGGTTTCAAGGAGGGTCCTGGGGCCCTGAGGGTTAAGGGCATTCCAGGTAATTCTTATCTTTAGGCAAGTTTGAGAAACTGGGGCTTTAGCTTGATAGAGACCGCTTTAATACCAACAAACCCCTTCTATTTGGGAATTAAAACATCACAAACTTGATAGATGAATGGCTGGTTGTATTTTTTTCCCAAATATGGATTCTCGGTCTTGCAGAATGTCATCTAGAATGAGAAAGTTAGGGGCCAGACACTGTCTCAGAGGCTGAATCAGTAAACAGCTGTAACCACTAACCCACTCATCTCATTTGACGTCTGAAATCCGTTTTTAAGCCCGAACTGATGGACTCATTGATGACTGACATTGGGTTGTGGGATTAGCTTTCTCAGAGAGAATTCCCCAATTCTGCATTGAAGTGTTTCTGTAATTAATATAATTAACACAGAGACCCTCATTTCCTAGTGTCTCTTGACATTTTATTTTTGTTATTGAAGTGATACAGATTAAAAACATCCACTTCTTCATTTTTATTTCCTCTCCCTCCCTCTTAGAATCCTACCACTCTTTGAAAAAACAAAATGGTGTGTAAGTACCCGGGTGGCCAGTGAACCAGGAGAGGCCTTTGCAATTTGTGGGTTGACAACTGTCGAAGTTCCTGGCTGGCCGTGCTCAAGAGGTCTTTCCCCTCCAAACTCCACTGGGCATTTGTGAGTCCTCAGACTCAGGCCCCGCCCCCCTGGTGCCCAGAGCTGCAGATTGCCCCAAAAGGGCTCTGGTTCTTATAGCAGAGCACTGTCCTCAGCTGTGGGCTTTCCAGGCCCTTCAGTCTTCCCCTTTGGCAAATGGAAAAGGCTGGAATCCCATCTTCAGATTGCTCTTGACAGCCCAGCCCTGGGCTCCTAGTCACCAGGGAAGATTTCAGACCCTCCCGGGGCGGGACAGGAATGGATCTGCCCTGGGCTTGCCCAGGGGGGCTTTTGTGGCTGAAGGGATTTGGTATTTAAGAACTGGGAAAAGAGAGAGCAACCTCCCTCTACGAGAACCTGGAGCAACAGTCTTGGAAGACACTCCGCCCCTGTTTAGTGGAAGAGAGTTTCAAAGTCAAATTTAAGAGAATTTGGCTCTGGCACCTTTAAGTCAGATAAGCTGAGAGAGTGGAATTCACCAAGAGGACTAAGGCCCACCTTCCTGGGTTCAGGTCCTCATGGTCTGACAGCCATGGGAGGTTAAGAAAACCTTTCCAAAGGAAAGAAGAGGAAAAAGCCTTCTGTTACAGAAAACAAGCTCACAGTGGGCTGTGGACTGTGTTTTCCCTCTCAGTTGTCTTGCTACTTCTAATTGGTTAAGAATGGGGGGGGCGGGTAATCACATATTTGGCCTAATATTTTTATTAGCACTTTAAAAATAATTGATGTATATATAGATGTCAGAACACATGGAAGCAAGTGGAAAAACACAGCATTTTTAAACATTCGTAAAAGTCAAGAATGGAATTCCAATCCCTTTGATGTATTTTCTTGATAGCAACTGCTTTCAACATAGAGTACTACGCTAGAAATAAATCCAAAACAAATTTCACAAATCCACAGGTAGAATTTACATAAGGCCAGAACACGCAATTTATCTCACTTTTTAATATGTGAGGTTACAAAAACCCTGAGATAATTTAAGATGAAAAAGAATGAGTGAAAGAATATTTTATTTTGAGATCAGATGCAAAATGAAGACCGTAGTCTTCTTCCTAAATATTCTCTACCCTGGTTGTGATTAGAGCTAAATATCTCACTTCAAAATACAATTGATTTTATTAAAGTTACTTTAAAGCCAACAAAGCAATAAAGTCAAAATTCTTTGCAGCAATAAATGGAGCATCATGAACTTTACATTTCCTGAATATATAACCTCCTAAGATAATGCAGAAAACTCTTGATTTTATGACAGTCCTACACTTTATGAAGAGATTATCGATGAGGGAAGTTTATATTCTTCTTTTTTTTTAATTTTAGGAAGATTAGTCCTGAGCTAACATCTGCTGCCAATCTTCCTCTTTTTTGCTGAGGAAGACTGGCCCTGAGCTCACATCCATGCCCATCTTCCTCTACTTTCTATGTGGGATGGCCTGCCGCAGCATGGCTGGACAAGCGGTGCATAGGTCTGCACCCAGGATCCAAACCAGCAAACCCAGGGCTGGCGAGGCGAAACGTGTGAATTTAACTGCTGCGCCACCAGGCCGGCCCCTATATTATTCTTAACACTATTTTTCTTTGAAAATAGTTTTAGTTATTCTATTTTGACATATGTCCATTAACAAACAAGTGCTGTAATATGCTATTATTACATATATGTTAAATGTTTCTACTGAAAGAATTCAACGTATAAATTTGTTCACCTGAACTTTGAATAGGGTCCATAAAATAACAGTTCAGTGCAATTGCTGCCCCTAAGAGATCATAAAACATTCTGAAAGTACTTAGAACTACCGTGAATGAAATACTGTGCAACCCGTCGGGTCAAAATTAGACCCACCAATAATAGCTGGTCTAGGACGGTGTTTGTGATTTTATCTCTATCATACTGTGATCTTCCCTGAACTGTCTGGGTGCAAACCGACCTGTGACTTTATGGCCGCGATGCTGAGCCTGCTGCGGGCCCCATAGAGGCTCCAAGCATGTGTCTCCTAGGACACCCTGAGGGCCCATTAAGAGCTTCGTCAATATCATGGATGCCATTTTACTTTAAGCCTAGTTATTTTTCCAGGGTTCAGATGTCCCCTTTGATACGTTTTTTTCCACTCTAATGAGTGAACAGATGCTGTTTATCATCACATAGACTCAGGTAGAGAAAAGAAGTATGAGCAGAGAAACTAACTCACGACGTCCCTAAATTCCATCAAGCAGGCTCGTAGCTGCAGATAAGGTGGTGGTTCTCAAACTTTCATACGATTGCTGGGCCCCACCCCCAGAATTTCTGAGTCAGTAGCTATCCAGTAGGGCTGGAGAATCTGCCTTTCTAACAAGTTCCCAGGTGATGCTGAGGCTGTGGTCCGGGAACCACACTTTTGAGAACCCCTGAAAGCAAGTGTATATCTCAACAATAAAATTTGCATCATTCGGTTTTCCTTTTGCCTTGACTGACAGGTTAAGAGAAAGGAAATATTAAGTATCATTCAGAATGCAAGTCGTTTAGTTTCATTTAATTCTTACAACACCCTACAACATAATTGTTACATTATTTTATGGATGAGGATGTTAAACCTCGGAAGTCAAACAACTTGCCCAACATTATACAGAGGACATGTTGGCCAAATACGCGTTTGTCCAACTCCTAAGACCATTCTGTGTTACGTGCCAACAATGTGCAGCCAGTGTAATTATATCAGCCAAGAGTTTCAGTTTCATTCTACTTTGTGTGTGCTGGTTTGTCTTTTACTTTATTGTCTTAGTCTGTTTTTATTATTGTTATAAGCTGACTCAAATTATCTTTAGAAATGGGTGAGGTACACATTTTAAATAAACATAAGAGAGTTTAAGGTAATCACTAAAGAAAGACGTTATGAATTGACTTATTATCCAAAGCAAAAATTGAGACATGTATGTGACCAAAACTTTGTGAAAACAGGTCAGAAATTGTGCAGTTTTCCAGTTAGTGTGGGCACACATGCATTTTGGAGTGACTGTTAAAAGAGAGAAAAAAATTACCTTCCTTTGCTAGTATTCTGGTTGGAAGAATAGTTAATTTGAACAAATTGGCATCACACAAGTTCCTGATGTCTTTTTTTACTGGTTGATTTTTAAAAGAACTTTCAAACCCATAAACAGAAATAAATGTATTTTGAACTAGCAGTCAAAGAAAAGCTGCCTAATTACAGGATGAGCCCCAATCTTTTCAAAAGACCATTGTTCTGACTTAATTAACATGAAGTGAAACAGTCCTACCACAACAGGGCCCATTCCCGTTAGGATAAATTACTCAGACGCAGTCCAGCAGCGAATTCCCTGGAGGAGAATCCTTCACTGCCCTTCCACCTGCACTACATCTTTCTCAAAGGCCTCAGCCACAGCTGGGGGCCTCCCTCGGAAGGGGCATCTGTTCCATATTGAATTTGCTCCATTTTGAGAAGCATGGACCTCAGCAGTCGATAGAACCATGGCTAGGAATGTGACATAGTGGCTTAGTAGCTATGGTTACGTAGAAAGCACTTTCCTTCTGGTCTCAAAATTTTCGTGTGAATATGTAAAAGTTTGTTGCTGCTTGTCTTAATATAGGGACGAATGGGATAGTTGAGGGAAAAACGCTGTTTCCTTAGCAGGATTAAGTTGAGCATGCTGGTTCATTAAGAAGCAAGGCTTTGGAGTCAGGCAGACCTGGCTTTGCCCGTTAGAGGCGTACGCTGTCGTACCACTTCCTTACTCTCAGCCTCGATTTCCTCATCTGTAAAGTGGAGACCTCAGTGGTCCGCTCTCATAGGGTTGATGCTCACTACACATGGCTATTACATGAGACGAGTCGACGCTCCCCCGACACATTATAAAAGATCATCCCCCACTTGCTTGCATGGGCCTTGTGATAACTTACACGCCACATTTTTCTTTTCACTCTATATATTAGCAGAGACCAGCTAATGAATAAGACCCGAGAAATTCCACTGGTCTATTCATCAGGAATGAAACCAAGTTTAAAACTAAAGCAATATAAACACGAATGTTTATTTTTTAGCCTATGGCAACGTCTTAGCCTTTATTCGTTTGGTAAGAATTTTTCTTCCCTAATTAGGTAAAGGTCACAGATGGTGGGGTGAATAAGTAACTGGTGTCCTCTAGGTAATTCTGTGACGCTAACCAAATTATTAACCGGCATTTGTCATGTGCTGAGATAAGAGTGGGAACGAAGCGTTTGAAATGAATCCAAATCATAACAGGAGATTAATTCATGTCTGAACACAATGCTAATGAAGCTCCGGTTTGAACACATTTTTAAAGAATTTATTCCGGTTTGAACACATTTTTAAAGAATTTATTCTATGAAGAAATATAACAGGTGATGGCCACAGACACATTACAATTAGGGGTCCACGGCAAACAGAGGAAAGGCCTCCTTCTTTTTCATCACGAAATTAAGGACTCCACTCCCAGTCCCAAAAATGAACTATAGTCCCCTTGAACGGTTGATGTTAAGTTTCCAGACCCGTAAGCACTATTAACGGCCAGCTTTCACTATTTTTAGGTAAATTCACTAAAATTCCATTCTTGTTAGGAATTGTGGAAATCATTTCTGTGAAAGCTGTTAAAATCAGTCAATAAATCCGGTTAATTCAGCTAATTGGTCAGTTCCATTTTTCTGTGTCTCATCTCAGTGTAACTATCATTTGTTCATTCAACACACTCATAAACAAGAAACATAAAGACAGAATCCAAGTCCTTAATTCTCGGGGGTCTAGTGGTCTTCATGAAACTTCATGTGGGAGTAGCAGCCTTCTTGATCTGGGAAGGTTTTCCCACAGACGCTACAGGAACAACCCTCATCGTCCTTGTGTGAACGGCGGACGTGGCTGTCATGGGCAGCGTGGGACGCAAAAGATTTGCCACAGAACTTGCACTTGAAGGGCTTCTCCCCCGAGTGCTGCCTGATGTGTGTGCGGAGTATGCTGGAGGCAGTGAACTTCTGCAGAGAATGGAAAAGAGAAGAAAAAGTAAACGTCCAACGACTGGACAATCGATTAAACAACGGGCTTATTTTCACTGTTACTGCCCCTTAGTTCTCCAATTGACGAACCTGGGGTTTTACGCTATCAAGGACTCATGGTCAGCAGCAGCCGCCTTACTCAAAAAGAACACGATTGACTTGTCACTGGCTGGTTTTGAGTAGTGGTGGCTGTTAGAACAGTGGCTCTTCAGTGGCTAAGATCACATGGGGGACTAGTTAAAAGTGCAGATTTGCCCACCTTACCCCAGAGAGTACGCCCAATAAATCTGACATGAGACTAAAGAACCTGCATTTAAACCAGCAATTCCAAAACAGGTGGACCTAGGACCACACTCCAAGACAGACTGCAGTACAGAAGGAGTCGCTAATATTGGCCAATGTCTTTGCATAAATCAGTACCTACTTGGTTCCTTTCTTATTTTTTTAAACTTTTTTGAGATAATTATCAATTCACATACAGTCATAAGAAACAAAAGATTCTGTGTGCCCTTTACCCAGCTTCCCCCAATGGTTATTACATCTTACAAAAGTATAGTTCATTATCACAACTAGGATATTGATGTTGACACAGTTAAGATACAGAACATTTTCATCATGAGGATCCCTCATGCTGCCCTTCTATAGCCACCCCCATCCCTCCCACTCCCACTTTTTTCTTAAGCCGTGGCAACCACTCATCTGTTCTATTTCTATAATTTTATCATTTCAGGAATGTTATGTACATGGAATCATCCAGTATGGAGAACCCTTTGGGATTGGCTCTTTCTTACCCAGCGTAATTCTCTGGAGATTTGTCCAGGTGGTTGTGTGTACAATGGTTCATCTCCTTTTTTACTGCTGAGTAGTATTCCATGGTGCAGATGTACCACAGTCTGTTTAATCCCCTACCCATGAAAGGCCATCTGGCTTGTTTCGGGGTGGGGGGGGGGCCTATTATGAACAAAGCTGCTACAAACGTTTGTGTACAGGTTTTTGTGTGAACATATAAGCCTTCATTTCTCTGGGATAAGTGCCCAGGAGAGCAACTGCTGGGTTATCTGGGAATTACAAGTTTAGTTTTAAAAGAAACTGCCAAACTTTTCCAGAGTGGCCATAACATTTTAGCTTCCCAAGTATTTGTTGTGTTTACGTATCTTTTCTTGGCCACTTCTGTTCTTTCCCTTATTTATAACCTTTCCCCTCATTCATTTCAATACTGTGCTCTGACCTTTGTCACTTTCAGGGAGTATATTAGAAAGTTAATGACTTTGTTTTTTGCGTCCATTGACAGTGACATAAAACACCAGGTCAAACTGGTGACCTTGAATTTGCGGGGTTGGGAGACAAGCACTCAACAATAGGGTGTCTGGACATATGTGGAACTGCTTCACTGCTCAGTAAGGTGCACAAGCTGTACCTGCCTAGAACAGCCAGACACAGCCAATTTTCATCAGCTTAAGTAATGGGAGGCTAATGTGTAAGCCAGAATGCCAAATAGCTAATTTATGCCTAAGTGAATTTAGTTTCCAGGTTAGCTACAAGCACAAGGTGAGGATCAGAATTAGAACTCTAGAATGATTATTTCCATTTTTGACACAATTACATTGGTGGATTAGTTCCTCTAAGCCAGGCAGATTCAATCTTTTATTTCTCTCTGGAAGGTTTAGAAGTCACCCTAAGACAGTCTATATTCCTCTAATGGCTTTACTATAAAAAAATTCAAATGACTCGATAATAGAAACAGTCTATTTCAGTGCTACCCAATAAGACTTTCTGTGATGATGGAAATGTTCTGTGTCTGTGCTGTCCACTTTGATGGTCACTAGCCACACGGGGCTTTTGAGCACTTGAAATGTGGCTAGTGCAATCAAGTTGCTGAATTTTCCATTTTATTTCACTTTTATCAATTTAAACAGCCTCGTATGATTAATGGCTAACTATGCATTAGACAGCACAGATGTGTGCCATCAAAACAGGACACAGGATGTTTTGGTCTACTATTTCTAAAGCATGGTCAAGCTATTGTTTCTACTCTAGTAACCCCTAACCACATATTTGTCTCTTCGTTTTTATAATTCAATATTCTGTATAACATAGATCAGATGCCACTTCAGTAACATTGCTCTAGAAAGTAAGATCAGCAGCATTTAAGAGTCTGTACTCTTACATACTACGTAATCAGGCCCACAATCCTCGGGTCCTGGTAAATTTAGGAGTATATTTCATTATACATGTCCTAAATGCCAATTTGGCAATAGGAGGTCATATCTGACCATCTTAAACAAATCTGAACATATTTGGGGATGGAAATGGGGATTGGGTTGATAATGGACTAATTTACTAAGAACTCGTTATAAGCCAGGCTTTATGCTTCAAGTTCTTATCCATGGACACCCACACAGGGCTCAAGGCCAATGCCTTAGAAGGAGGGCCCATTTACCTTTGTACAATACACACAGTGGTAGGGTCTGTCTCCGGAGTGGACTCTCATGTGCTTGTTTAGGCTAGAAGACTGAGAGAAACATTTCCCACACGTGGAACACTAAGGTGAAAAAGAAAAATATAGCTGAAATCACATCTTCCCTCGCAAGCTCATTTCATCATTGTGTTCACCTAGGGGAGAGAGCAGAACTGCTCTTTCTATTCTGCGTCTGTAGGCAGAGGATCATGCAGACCTAGGCTCTGGTCCAGAGCCTGTTCAATGCTGTGACTTCAGGTAATTCATCTAAAGCCTTTGGGTATCAGTTGCTTCAGACGTGAATGTGGGAACCGAATGGGTTCGTGGCATGTAACAGAAGGCTGAGTTAGTCCCGCTCTGTCAACAAGTACCTGTGTGACCAGAGCACATCAGTTAACCTTGGAATTTTCATTTTTTGCTTTTCCTCATGGGCAAGGGCAAAATAGCTGCTCGGTCTTCCTCGCAGGAGTTAATTGCAAGCACTGTGCAATTAATTCAACAAGTATTAATGGAGTACCTACTATGGACTCAACTCTCTGCTAGAGACACGGAGCTAACAATCTAGCGGGGGTGGTGACGAATGTGTAGCCAAAATGGCGATATGGCTGGGAGATGAGTGGACACATGTTGTACCTACAAAAAGAGGGTAACATTTTGGGGGGCCGGTGAGAACATGTAGTGCAGCCGCTCGCTGTGAACAGTTCATGACGTTTCTCTGTGCTCTCGACCCTGGTGAGTCCTGTCCAACCTTCTCAGGACTTCTGAACCGGGTAAAGAAACTACTATGCTTTCACACCCTGCTCCCCAGCCGTGCTTACATGCACAGATGGGAGAGGTGGTATTTTTAGCTGGGAATTTTTAGTAGAATTTTGCGTGGATTTTTAAAGTCTTCTCTAATTTTGCTGTACCACTTGAAGTTTTAATAAAGAGCAGGTATTCTTATTACTAAAGCACAAAAAGTCAGATGTTCGAGTTAATATTGCAAAAAGAACAGGTCAATTATAAAAGGGCAGCAATTAGAAAATGAAACTGCTCTTGGAAATTAAAAACAAACAAGAACAACAAAAAAGTCGTGACTAGAAATGCTGTGCACCTGAACGGATCCAGCTAATTGCTAAGGACTGAATACACGATTTGGAAAAATAAGGTTGGGGATGTGTCTGAGGATGCTATGCAAAAAAAATTAGAAGTTAAGCACCAGGACATAGATTCAGCCTAACACCTGGTCAAAAGGACTTCCAGGAGACAGGGAAGGATCTGGAAGACAGACGATAACTAAAGAGAACAAGAAAAGCCCTGTGAGCTTAGGACTTGTGCCTTCAGGTGGGAAGCGTGCTTTGGACGCCACCAATTACACAGCAAAACAAAAAAAGAAAAGAAAAAGGCATCCAAATTTCAGAACTTCAAAGATAGAGAACAATTTCCACAAAGAAGAAAACTGGTTATTTACAAAGAAACAAGAACCAGCTTGGCATAAAATGATAGAAGAAAATGGAACGATGCCTTGAAGGTTCTGAGGGAGAATTATTTCTTTCTAAGATTCTAGATCCAGCCAAATTATCAAAGATGTGAGTAAAATATCCTCAGACACAGAAGGACTCAGAGAAATTTTCAGAGTACGCTTAAAAATAATTACTTGAAGATATGCCCCAGTAATATAAAAAAGAAATGCAGAAGGAAGATGAGTGGGATAGAAAAATCAGTAGAACTAATTCGGGAAGGTGGTAAAAATATCCAAATATGACCGTTCACAGGCCTGGAGAGCAACTGGTTCAAATCAGAACAAGCTCCATCAAGAACGCTTTCAACAAGGATGGAAACATCATCACAAGATTTACACAGTTAAGAACTAAATTGTCTCTTGCAATTAGAAATCCCAGCAAAAAACAAAAGCTCATAAGGAAGTCAAAGATGAAAGACAAATACAGTTAAAGTCGGGCATAATTTTGAGTAATTGACGGAGTGTAAGAAACAACACTTTCTGAAAGAACAAAGCCCTCTCTCCACTGGTCAGGTATTTCAGAAGGTTGGAGGGGCCGGCCAGGTAGCACAGTGGTTAAGTTCGTGCGCTCTGTTTTCGTGGCCTGGGGTTTGCAGATTCAGATCCTGGGTGTAGACCTTGCACCGCTTAGCAATCCACACTGTAGGAGCAACCCACATGAAATAGAGGAAGATTGCCGCAGATGTTAGCTCAGGGCCAATCTTCCTCACATACACACACAAAAAGGTTGGAGAAGACTGACATTCTAAACTCACATATGAAATCTTGGTACTCCTTGTTATGGAGTACAAGGATTTCCTCTGATATCTGAAAAGGAGAACGTTTAGGTTTTAAATGCTGGAAGAAGGGTGATAATAAAGGGTTTTCCATTGTTGGTTGTACACTCAGCATCTTCTGATATTTTAATCAATCAATAATTTTTTTCTTTCAGAAAAGGATTGTTCTTGTTAAAAATCATTTATCGAAGTTCTGCATGTCTGTTTCACTAGTGCTTGTTTTTCTTCTGTTCAAGTTAAATTGTGTGGTTTTTTTTTTTTTTTTTTTGAGGAAGATTAGCCCTGAGCTAACTACTGCCAGTCCTCCTCTTTTTTGCTGAGGAAGGCTGGCCCTGAGCTAACATCCATGCCCATCTTCCTCTACTTTTTTTTTATATGTGGGACACCTAACACAGCATGGCTTTTGCCTAGCGGTGCCACGTCCACACCCAGGATCCGAACGGGTGAACCCTGGGCTGCCGAGAAGTGGAACGTGCGCACTTAACCGCTGCACCACCAGGCAGGCCCCAAATAAAGTGTTTTCTTTTAGGCTTCTGCAGAAATTAAATAAACTTTATCATCTTAAAAGTTAAGTACACAACCTAAAGTATAGGAAATACAGAAATCTAAGAGAATAAAAAATATTAAGCAGTGAAAATAAAAGAAAACACCTCAATCTTTGGAACATAATGAGAAATTCAGGTTGAGATGGTGAGGCAGCAGCTAGACATGTGCCTCGAGCTCAGGACAGACTTGTTGGCTAGACATCTGAAACCCAGTGTTAAATGGTATTTGGAGTCACGATAAAGGGTAAGAACATTCAGGGGGAGTTTGCAAAGAGAAGAGAACTCAAGAACCCAAGAACCCTTGGAAACACGGAGTATGACAGGACTCCCTCACTTCCATTGCCAGGTAGAAATGAAAGCTCCTCTTTTGAAGGCCAAGTCACCACACTCCACTAGTACCAGCTTCCACCACCCTTCCCGTATCACTCCTGTCATCTATTGACCTCCTGGTCCTCAGTTCCCCAGTTTCAAAGACAGCAGTATCTGAGTACAGCTTCTCTCCTCCAACGCCAGCTGAAGACCACCACTGCCCTCAGTGTTTAGGCAAATGACCCATCCAACAGCCTAGCAGCAATTTCTTGACCCAATTCTGATAACTTTTTCCTGTCCACTTTAGTCAAAAACAAAACAAACAAAAACTAATCCTGTAGCTTCAACTTTCTTAAACGCCCTGTGATCTAGCAGCAGCCAATACTACAAATATCCTAAATGCTCTAACCCATTAACTGTAAGAGCCACCATTACACTTTATGCGATAACTAAAGAAGAAAACGCTACCCGTTAAAACTATGGTGTTGAACACATTCCAATTTCAGAAATATAAAAATGTGAAAAAACCCTCCAAATTCTAGAAGTGATCAAATATGGCTTGTAAATTATTACAAAAGCACATCGTAATACATACTGTCCAAGGACATACATTGACAAACCACAGGACAAATGCGAACAGTCAATAAAATATATTTTTAAATTTAAACCTCATGAATGATAACGATGCAAGTTCAAGCAAGACACCATTTTTCATCATAAAAAGGATAATATTGTGCAGGAGACCTGGGGCTGCTGACTACACCGCAAGCCCAGCAGGTTGGACTATGAATTGACACTTTCTCTGGGAAGCAGTTTAGCAACTAGATTTGAGCCTTAAAATTGAACACATCCTTCGACCCAGTTTTGGTACTTCTGAGAATCTATCCCAAAGAAATAATCAGAAATGGATAACAGAGATCATGATTTCTATATAATACTGTCCACTGCAGCAATAAGGGGAGGGGCACAAAACAGGGGATTGGTTAGATAAATTATGGCGCACCCATCTAATATACTGATATCGCCATGATTATGTTCACAAATTACTCAGGATGTAATGTTAAGTCAGAAAGCAGCCTCATGATACTCAGCATGATTCCAAACATACTACAATTACACACACACATATAGAAAAAAAGACACCTAAAATGTCTTAACTTTGGGCCACAGCATATCAAATGGTTTTTATTTTGTCCTTTCTCCAAATTGAATTTGCCAAGCACACACTATTTTCTCATGCTAAAAAATAAAAATTGGGAATAACAATTTAAAGCTTACCAAGTAAAGATATAAAAATCACTCTTGCTTCATCCTCAATCGTACTCCCAGAGTGACAGTTAGCAGTTGAACGTGTTTCTTTCCGACTGTTTTTCATTTATATGTAAACATCATACACAGCATACATAATAAAATATTTCAAATGGCATCATTCTATACCTAGCCTACAACTTCGTTTTGCTTAATAAGCCATAATTTATATAGCCAATTCTATGTTGATGAACATAGTCTGTAACTCTTCACCATCAGAATACTGGCCAGTGTCATTTTTTATTTTTGCCAGTCTATGGGTGAGAAATAATTTCACTGCCTTAATATTTAAAATGTTCTTTTTTTTTTTGAGGAAGATTAGCCCTGAGCTAACATCTACTGCCAACCCTCCTCTCTTTTTGCTGAGGAAGACTAGCTCTGAGCTAACATCATGCCTATCTTCCTCTACTTTATATGTGGGACGCCTACCACAGCACGGCTTGCCAAGCGGTGCCATGTCCGCACCCGGGATCCGAATCGGCGAACCCTGGGCCACTGAAGCAGAAAGTGTAAACTTAACTGCTGCGCCACCAGGCCGGCCCCTAAAATGTTCTTAGAGTTACAAAAATAATACGTGATAACTGTAAAGATATTCAAACTTCACAGAACGTAATGTACTGATTAAATGTGATTTTTCCAAAAGCTTAGCTGTGAACTGGAGGGGAGAGACAAAGGCGATTTTATGATTACTCTCAGTTTTCAGGAGAAAAACTGGGGCTCAGAGGAGTCCCTCAAGGTTGCAGCCTTGTCAGCTAGTCCTGACAGGACAGGGAGTCAGACCGAGTCCATCTGTACCCTAGCCCTGTCCTCTTTCTAGTTAAGCCCAATGGTAGCTTGCATTTTTTTGCACCAAGCCTGGCAGTGCAACCAGATTTCTGGAACGGCAGAAAATGGCTCCCTAATGCCACCACTGCTTTTCGTCCTCACCAAATCCTTGGCATGCCGTAGAGGCCTCCATGCTTTGGACCATGCCTACGCTTCATCCTCGCCTACAGCCATCACTATGCCTGCACAGATTACGGAACAAAGTGAAGTCACCTCACAACACATGCCAGGCTCTTTCCTGCCTGGAATGTCACAATCCTTTCCCCCTGACCAACCAACCCTGCTTCCATCCAATACAAATCAGAATACCCCATTGTCCCTCCAGACTCGGCTCAAGGCCACCTCTTCTATGAGGCCTTCCATTACCCAGGTGTCAGGTAGAAGTGGACATTCCTTCCTCAGCGCTCCTTTCTACCCTGTACGTCCATTCTGTCACTAATACGTCACTGCATTAGTCCATGTCTGCCCTTCCATAGCACTGTCACCTCCTTCAGAGACCCTGTCTCATCAGGCATTGTGTCCCAGCAACTTGCCAGGAGGCCCTTGGTGCGCTCAGGGGTCTGGGGAAGGAGCCTGAAGGCAGAGGGAGCGATGGGCGGGATCCTTCGCCGCCCTCATTCCTACCTTGTGAGGCCTGTGCTTCTCATGGACATGAAGGATATGGATCCGCAGCCGGTCCCGCTTCTCAAAGGATCTTTTGCAGAGAGAGCAAGGAAATTTCCTGTCACCCTTGTCCACACAGGCGGTGTACTTGAGATGCTTATCTCTGTAATATTTGTAGGTAAATACTTTTCCACATCTTTCACATCTGTAACCTTCTGCAGACTCTGTCAAACACAGGGATAAGTGCCAGTGGCTTTGTCAGCTTCCTTCCCTCATTCTTACTTCCTCCAAGATGATTTTTAAAAACTTTTTCTCACAGAAAATTTTAAACATATACCACAGTCAAAATAATAGAATAAACCCTCATGTGCCCAGCACCAAGCTTCAACAATCACCAACTCATAGTCAATTTTGTTTCCATTTATGTCCCTTCCCTCCACAATGGATTAAACTAATACTAACTTATCATTTGGTTCATAAATACCTCAGACAGTAACCTTTAAAAGATAAAGATTTTTAAAAGCATAACCATAATGCCATTGTCATACCTAAACAATTAACTCATATTCCTTAATAGAAATACATGTATCTGTGAGTACATATATACACATACATATGTTTGTATAATTATTTCACAGCCAGTTTGTTCAATTTAAGATGCAAAGTCTACATATTGTCCACAGTTGCCACGTCTCTTCACTTTCTTAACCAGTAGGCTCTCCTTCCCTTTTACTTCCTGCAACGTATCTGTTGAGGAAGCCCCGTCTATGGCCCCATTTAAGAGCAGTTCAGTCCTATAGTTCTTGAACACTCCTGACTGGCATGCGTTACAAGGTGACTATACCAAACACACCCGTCTCATTGTTCCTTTCAGATCAGTCTGAGCTACAAGTTCAAAGCAGTTCCCCCAGGACAACAGTGGGAACCCACAGCTTCCCTCCCAGGGGTCACAAGTGCTGTTCCATCTGACCCCATTTACAAAGCCTTAAGCACCCTTTTATCTTAGAGTTCACTTCTCTGAACTTTTGGGGAGGATTCCAGAGCTAGAATTTTCTGGTATAGAGTAAGGATGACAACATCTCACCTTCCTTAATACATAGGGTTGTCACCACGATTAATTTAATTCTAACACTTATTGAGTTCTTACCACCATCAGTGATGCTATCACTGGGTGATAGACAAGGCCAAGAAAGGTAACTCTGTCTTTATCAACAGAGGAGAGAGGGGGAGGAGAGAGGTTAGAGAGGGTGCGGCGGACTCTAGCAAAGGAGATCCCAGGTCCAGGGGTGTCTATATGTTGGGGGGAGGGGAGAGGACAGGGGCCACCTACAAAAGCATCCTTGCCGAGGTCGCTCTGGACTCCAGAGGATAAAGTAGCTTTGACTGAATGCATCACTGAGACCTCATTGTCTGGCCCCAGGGAGGGAGAGAAGAGCCAGGAGTGAGTGTATGCAGGGGTCTGTAGATGGAAATCTTTTTGGCATCAGGACAGCAGGAAGCTATCCATCAGGGGCTTTGTTAGTTGACAACTATGTCCCAGGCACGTTTAACAGGTGGCTAAGGAAATAAACCATCCATTAAGTAAATAACCAGGAAGGCAACCGCCCACCCCAGGACCAGGCTTCGCCCCGCCACGTCTATCACTTTCATTGAGGTGCTAATCCTCTCTGAATGCCCCTGCTGGGGCGGTTTTGGCTCAGAGCTAGAATTTTCATTGGTCAGAAATACCTGGCCTTCCTGCTTCCTGGGGTGGAGAGGGTCTGCAGGACACGGTCAGCGATCTTTACAAATCAAAGCGCTAAAGCACACCAAAATTCAGAATAAAGGTTCAGCAGTGAGTTTGCATAAGAACAACCATTTAGGTGAAAAGGAGACACCACCCTTACTAATTAGGCTTCAGCTGCCCACGTTTTCTGCTCAGGTCTTTGGAAATCCTCTTAACCTAACTTTATCCTGTTCCCTTTCCTCATTCTTCTCCATCTCCATGAGCTACTCTTTTTAGCCATTGGTGTCTCAGTACCAACGATGACGATGACGCTTTCTGCCCCACTACAAACACCCAGTTCAGACAGTTTGGTAACGATTAAGAGTTGTCTTCACATTCCACACCTCCATCCCCCAAAACACACACTCTGCAGGCTTGTATACTCAAATAACCCGCCCACATAGGGTCCAGACCCTTCCCTCCCACTCAAGACCTTAAAGGGGAAGGCTCCCACCAGTTCTCCCCAAAAGCCTTTGAGAAAAACAGTTTTGAGAGGACAAAGGAATTTTGACTTTTCTTTCCTTTTTATCCTTTCCAAAAACATTCATAATAGAAAACAAATGAATTCATCCATAATTCTTCCCAATGAATTAAGTTATTTACAGGTTCCCTTCCACATATTGTCCAAAATACCTATTATTTTGACAGTGCTGTAAGCATCAGATATAATTTGGCTCAGAACTGGAGCACAGGTAACCGCATGCTGGGTTTGTCCCTACTTGCTATTATTCTCAAGCTCTCATCCCTGTTGCTTATCACACGATTGAGATCTCTGATATCTGTGTACCATTCCATGTTAATACATCATCATTTACTTAACAATTATTCTACTACTGACCATTTAGGTTGTTTGTGCTTTCTCACTACAACATGGATAGTGCTGTAGTAAAAATCCTCATGCACAAGGCTTTTCCTTTTGGATTATTTCCTGAAGACAAATTTCCAGAAGAGTATTACTGAGACATCAAAGGTTATGAACATTTTAATAGCTCTATACGTAGTGTTAAATACTTTTTCAAAAGGATAATGATTAGATTTTGTTGAGTTATCAAGCATGTATTTTTCTCAAATGCATTTTCACTTTCATTTCGAAAGCGGATTGGTACATTTTTGCAAGTGTCCAAAAGGACTTACTTGGCTTGGTGCTAAGCAGGAGACAACTGTGAGTTCCAGGACTCGAGAGAATCCCACCACCTCACCACCACCCCACCCAGACCCCAACCACACAGTGGGGTAGGAGGAAGACAGTTCACTGAAACAATTCCGACAAGCCCTCATTATTCGGCCTCTAGAAAGATACCGCTCATTATTCACCTCCTAATCCCTGAGGAACACGTCCTCGCCTCAGGCTTCACTCTTCCCTGAGCCTGGATTGCCTTCCCTCTCTTCCTGCCTATCATATGTCTCATTCCATCTCATCCCTAAAGCAGCTTTTCCCAACTTATTCGCAGTGTCTTTCTCCTTCATTCAATGCATGTTGGGATCAAGGAGCAGGAGATATTAAGGCGTTGAGGGTTATTCCTGCCCTGAAGGTCTCAGTCTAGCTGGGACACGCAGGCAGGCAATCCCTGCAGTGTGTGATGAATGCAATTCACATTTTCCTTAACCTGTTATTTATTATAACCTAATAAGGTGGTCTTCTATCTGATTCCTCATATCACAGTAATTTGCATTTGTCTTATCCCACCTACTAGATCAGTAGTTCCCAAACTTTCGTGTATATAAAAATCAATCGGAGAGCTTATTTAAAGCACAAATTCCGGAGGCTCACTCCCAGAGAGTGAGTGGGTCAGTGGTCCTCTAGCTCTTTGCTGCTCAAATGCGGTCCAGGGACCAGCAGCATCAGCATTCCCTGAAACCTTCATAGAAATGCAGAATCTCAGGTCCCAACCCTGAATGAGAATCTACATCTTCCCAGCATCCCCAGGTATTCACATCCACATCAACACTGGAGAGCGAGAGTCTAGCTCAATGCTTCTCAAAGTTGACTGAGACCCACAGTAAGAAATTCATTTGATGACTGAGACCCAGCATACACACACATACCCATTTGAACCAAAAACCTCACCAAACAAGGGTTATCTTACTCAAGTAGGAATTACATCAATACTTCCCATTCTATTTTATCCTTATTCTCTTTTTTTCCTCTAATGCTGGTCTCCACCACTAAATTGATTTCCCACCCCATTAAGATACTATAGGCCACCATTTGAAAAACACTGCTGTAGAGTTCTGACTCCATAGCTGTGTTAGCTTGAGCAGAGATGAATCAGAATCTGGCTCCCATAAGGCAAAGCTTGCATCCATTTATTTCACTTTTATTTCCAAGAGGGGGTAAAGGGGCAAAAGAATAGGTATGCTTGTGAATACAAGTAGCTTCAACAGCTTTGGGAAAATGAGGGCACTTTCCTCCAGCTGGGTCCCCCTGGTTAGAGACACCCTCAGTTTAGTCTCCTGCCCTAGCCTTTGGGAGGGAGGAGCGCCAGAAGAAAGCAGAGAAGCTGCGGGAAGGTGCTCATGTTTGAAAAGAGCCCCGTCCTTCCACCAGGAGGGCCTCCGCGTTCGAGGAGTACACTCACCCTCCGAGGGCTCGGAGGCCTGCTTCCCCTTCTCTGTGACCTGAAGGCTCACGGGAATGTCCAGGAACTTTTCATAGCAGTCTCCATACCACACAAGGAGCTCCTGGTTCTGGTGGATCTCCTTGCAGCTCTCATAGAAGATCTGCCCTTGGCATTGCACCGCCACCAGGTTCTGCTCCTTGGGGAACCGCGCACAGTTGACGTAGGACATCCAGTTGCCCGCACTTCCTTTCCCATCTATAAAGTGGCTCAAATGACCATCTTCAAAGATCTAAATGAAATAAGACACGAAGTTTGAAAAATGCACTTTTTTGGGGGGCTAACCTATACAACAAATGTACTCATTAAAATTTAAAATCCAAATCACACCCTTTAATCCACTGAATAGTTTTCTTATTATTAATATTAAATTATTATTAAGCCTAAATAGATTTATTAACTTAAGAATCTCTCTATAGGTGATGTGACATTTTTAAAATGTTGTTACTTTTATCACTTTCTTGATTTCCAAATTTCCATAGTGAGCATACGTTAATTTCATAAGTAGAGGTTAAGGGAAACAAGAGGGCACATTTAATTTCATCCCTTAAAGACAACCACTTAGTTTTGTATTTTATCCTGACCTAGTTTTCATGCATGTTAACGGAGCCATAATTTAGTTCTTTCTCTGCTGTCCGCAATGCTACTGTATCCAATGTTTTGTTATTATAAACAACCCTATGATTAACATCTTCCTCATGGTCTGAATTTCAGATTACTTTCCTCAACTATATTCCCAGAAGTAGAAATTCGGGGTCAAGGAGGGGTTATCTGATATATTCTGACAAACTGCAGTCCCACCAGCACGTGCCACACACAGTCAAGAGTACCAGTTTTTACAAACCCTTAGCTAATTTCAGAGGCAAATGATATCGAAATTTTAAAATTTGTTTTTATTCCCTTTGGGATATTCTCAGCATCACTCTATATTTAAAGCATTTGGTTTTGTCTCTAAATATAACACAGTGCATTAATTCTTTAAATGTATATTCCACGACTAATCTTCACACACTAAAATGACTTAAGGTACCAAAAAATACATAGAATTCCTGCCGGGCGCTATCCTCAGGGAGTGAACACCCGCCTTTCCTTCCCTTTATGTTGCAAAACAGGCAGCACAGACAGCAGATTACTGCCCTGAGTGTCCCTCTCCCGGGCCAGGATGCTCCCAGAGGGGCAGACGCCAAGATTTTTCCCCACCAGCCTCCTCCTCACTTTGAGCCAACCCACCAGAAAGATATTTACCTCCCACATCAGAGAATTGTCTCCATAGGTCTTGACTTCACTGGCGTTGACCACTTTACCTTGAAAGGGCCCAAATCTGGCTCCTTTGGCAATGTGGCTACTGCAGAACACACCAAAATGTGGAACTTCGCCAAACACAGTCTGCCTGAGGCAGAGACCTAGAGGAAACCCGAAGCGGGAAAGCCACTGAGGAAAATGACCACGTCTGTTTGAGGAAAGAAATGCAAGCAAGGTGCCCCGCCTACCTTCTGGTAGACGAAGGGAGTGTTTATCCAGACTTTGAGGAAGAGAATCAGACCCTAGAAAAAGACAGGGTTAGAAAGTTAAAATTCATAAGGCACTTCCCTCCCTACTCCCTAGAAGGCAACCATTACCATCACTTCGATGTTTACCTAACCTTCATATTTTTCCTGGTCCTTTTACAGTTTCTCATGTGGGACTCTGAACAACCCTTGCAAGGTGGCGTAATTAACCCCATTTTGCAAATTTAAGATTTTGTCTAAGGTCAAGGTGCATGGCTGAGCTGGGACTCTCAACGTGAAGTGCATGAAGCTCTCATGGAGACCTTGCACATCCAGGTAGAACCTGATCCCGGGTGACAAGTCTGCTGCATGAACCATTTCTCTCCTCACCTTCAGCTCTCACTAAAACCAACCTCAGGAGTCATGTCGTCAAGCAAGCAGGGCCTCAAAAGTGAGCCTGGCTCCCCGGGCCCCATCCTCTGATGGAAGCGCCTACACGCCCCTGCCAGACTTGTACAGCCTCAGATCCACCTCCAGCGTCGCTTGCCTACTCCTGCCCCCTCCCACCTCTACTCCCGTCCAACCCATCTCCCGGTTGATGTCGACTGCCTTTACCCGAGCTGTCTGTGGGGACCAGGAGGCCCGAAATCGCATGGTGCAGGCGCGCTGAGGGCTCCAGGCTGGGGATGACTCCGTACAGAACTAAGTACAGGTCCTCCTGGGTGAAGTGGTAAGGCCGAGGCGACTTCTTCTCCTGGCTCAGGAGTTTGGGGCCATCCTCAGACCGCTTGGTGGAGGAGCAAGATAATAACTGGGAGGTCTTCAGCCTCTCCGGGAACAAGGAAGCGTCCACAGGGGGCGGTGGAATTAGAATTTCAGGTCCACAACACTGGTCACTGTCGCTGCGGCCACCAAGGTGGCCCAAGCCTTCCCTGGCGGCGCCCGTACACTCGCGGCTGCTGTTCAGAAAAGGGGGCCCCTCCCTGGGGAGGTGGGGAATGGGGTACCACGGCGGCAGCTTGCTGTACCAGGGCAGATCGTAGAGCGGCTCCCTCTGGAGGGCCAGGCCGGGGCTCAGCAAGGGAGGAGCCGGCCGGAAGGCGAAGGGGGGCACCGCCTGGGATGCAGACACGGCGGCCTCCAGCTGCCGGAAAGGTTGGAAGTTCTCCTCCGCAGCGGCGAGGCTGTTCCCGTAGTGGCCAAAGGGCAGGTACGGCGTGTAGTAGGCGGCCAGACGAGGGGGGCTGCTCTGGAGCCTCTCGGGCGGGTAGCACACCTTGTCCTGGGATCCGGCCTCGCCTGGCGGCCGCAGAGCCATCCCGGCCGCGGCGCGCGGCGCGTCTGCGGAAAGCAAGCGCGGACGGGTGAGGGGCTCTCGCCGCCTGGCCTCCACCATGCGCGCCAGCCCCAGGTCGGAGGGAACTGGATAAACTTCCCACTTGGATCCCGCAAGCCCTACCCCACAAACAAAACGAAAAAACAGCAATGAACACAAACACAGAAAAACCCAAAACGAAAATCTGCCAGGAACCCGCCCGACTCCAAGTTCCTGGGAGGGGTCGCCTTTGCCTTCCCCCTCCAAAAACACCTTGACCGAACACGGCGGGTTTCCGAGCCCCCCTCTCCAGGTGCGGCCCGAACCCGCCTCCTGCAAAATCTGGTTCAAGTTCCCTCTCCCGCCCTCCCGTCCATCCAACAAACTCCCGCAGCGTCGGTCGGAGCCGCCGGGGCCGCGGCCGGGAGCCGAGCGCAAGCCCGCACGGAGCTATGGGCAGGCGGCAGTCCCGAGCGCCTCTGGGTCCCCAGCGGGGAGGGAAGGGCCAAGGCCCCCCGTCGGATGGCGCAGGGGGCAGGTCCCGGAGGCCGCCCCGCTGCGAGCCCCAGCTCTGACCCCGCGGACCTGGCGGTCCCTGCTGCCGGGAGGAGCAGGGCGCGCCCTCCGGCTCCCCTCCGAGCTCCGCAGCCAGCGCCCGGCGTCTCACGTGGACCGAGTCCCGCCACACGCCCCAAGTCCCTCGGGAAACTCCAGCTGCCCCACTTGGGGGCGCAGGGGGCCTGGGGTCGCCTCTGGGAGCAGGCAAGGACGAGCCCCAGGCTAGGCGGGAGAGCAGCCTCCCGGCCGCCGGCCCTCGCGCCCCTGCGCCGCCGCCGCCACCCCGAAAGGGCGGCGTTTGAACCGACACGAGTTCACCAAGGCTGAGGACTGGAGCCCCGTCAGGGCGGCGGGTCTTGAGGGCAAGATCAATGAGTCCAATCAGGAAACCAAGCAGGGTCGTGACTCAGAAATTAACGAACACGGGGGTCAGGGGAAGAGGTCAGCCACCACGAAGGCATCCGCCCGTCTCCGGAGCCCCCAAAGGCGCACTGCTCCTGGCCTCCCCTCACCTCTAAGATCTGCAACTTGGGGCTGAAAGCCGCTTAAGGAGTAAAAGCCCCAAGAGGGCAAAACGGCCACCCAAAACGAACCGCGCCAGCCACCGCTGCCTGCGCTTCCCAAACGCCCGGTGCACGACGGCCCCGGGCCACCGCGGCGCGCCCCGCCCGCACCCACCTCCGAGAGCGCCGCCGCCGGGCGGGCGCTGCGGGAGCCAGCGGGCGGCGCAGAGGGCTCAGGACGGCAGGCTTCGGGCGCGCCCGGAGGGCCGAGGAGAGTTTAAGAGGGCGGCGGGCGGGCGGGGCCCCGGGGCCTGGAGAGGGCGAGGGTGGGGATGAGCCGCGGCCCACGCAGGTCCCCAGGCGCATCCCTCCCCGCCCACTGCAGCCATTGGCTGGCGCTCGACTCGCCCCCCCAGTCCCCAGGGGGTCGCGCACTGAACTCAGCGGTTCTCCAAACCCTCTCCCGGACCCTGGCCAAGCGCTCGCCGCCCGCTGTTTGGGGCGGGCACAACCGCTGCTCCAGGCCTGCCGGGTGGGGGAACAAAAAGCCTGAGCAGGTGTCACCCAGGATCCCCAGAGAAGCCCCTCTGCCCCACACCGACCCTGAGTCGGCGCCCATAAGGCCGGGACTCGCGTCCCGGGGTCGCGCCCCTGCCTGTCGGCTTCGAGTTCCCAAGAGCCCAGCCTGGCCAAAGGCGGCCTCGAACCCCAAGGACCAGGTGGACGTCTGTCCCTGATACCTCGTGGGGAGCGGGCACCGCCCTTCGGGCTGGGAAGCCGCGCCTTGTGGGTCCGGGGCGCGGACACGTAGAAGCGGTGGGTTCACCTAGACTCTGGGCTCTGCTCCCGCGATGCTTCCGAGGTTTCGGATGGCTGTGTAGCCCTCTTGGGGCCTTTACTTCTTAAGTAGCTTCCAGTTTCCGAGGACCAGCCCCCTGTGCTCCACCGCTGTCTCTTTCCACCGGGGAAAGCTTGTGACCTCGGACGCGCAGGGCGCTTGAAAAGCAAGGTCCAGACCCATACCGCGCGCTCGATGAGCGCATTTTTATTCTCCTGGCCGGCGATTGAGCGAAAGAAAGGAGCACTTAGGCCCATTCACATTCACTCCTGGAAGCATCTAGGGTGGAGGAATCCCCTGTAAGGCCGGGTGACCTTGGCCAGGTTCCTAGCCACCCCGGCCGTTGCTTCCTCTGCAAAATAGAGCGAGCACTGGCCGCCTCTGGGCGCGGCGGCGAGGGTCGAGAGCAGAGGCGGAAACCCCCCAGGCCTGGTTACTAAACGTGGAGGGAAGGGAAGGAGGAGACAGCCATCGGCTAAGGCGCAGCCAAAGGTCCTAACGCTGGCGGAAAGGGAGCCCTGTGGCGGAGCGTGGCTTCCTCCGTGAGCTACCCGACCTTCCAGAGCAGCCACGGCGGGGCGGGCGCCCCTCTCGGGTCCCGGGCCCTGGGGCGCCGGCGTGCGCAACCCCCTCCTCCCCACCGCCCACCCACCGCGCCCACGTGCGGGGGCCAGGTCACCGCGCCAGCTGGTCTCAGGTGCCGTCGGGGGAGCCCGCGCTGCCTGGCTCTGGACCCGTTTCCCCGTCGTAAGGAGGATCTGAGACGAGAGGGGGCGCATTCATTTCTCAGCCGGGATGGGAGGACAAGGAGGCCGGGGTTTCTTTCCTTCCTTGCTCTGTACCTCTACCCCAGTTCTTAAGATCTTGGCTAACAGGTTGAAGAAGTGAAGAGGACCCTTCGAATCTAGTCCGAGGCCAGCACCTCTGGGAAGAATCATGTACTTGGAAAAGCAGAATAACTTCTGCTGCCGTCTTCCTTCCGGAGGCATGGCCGTCCCAGGACTCCTACGACCCCTTCCGTTTACTGTATCTTCCTTCCTTCCCCCTGGACCTCACCGGTAGGATTTAAAGACTGAGGTGCCTACACCTGGGTGGTCCGTGGATGTCAGGTCCCCGGAAGCCATTGTTTAGTGCAGTGACTCCCAGGTTGTAGCTTTAGTTAGCAGAAGCCACATGAACCTTATCTTCGTCTTGTTCTGCAAAAAATCTAGAGTTTAAAATATTTAAAAAGTAGATATTTTTGATTATAAGTATATATTTTTGATTTGCTTGTTTAAATAGTGTAAAAAATCGGTAAAATAAAAGGGGAAGTCCTTGTCCACCTCTCTTCTCTGCTCTCCAGAGGTAACACCGATTAATGCTTTGGTTAATTCGCTACCTTCATTTCTTTTTTAAAAAATACCATACTTTTAAATTGTATTTATATATAGTATTTTTTTAACAAAATGGGATTATACTTTTATGCAATTTTCTCTCTACTAGTCATCATTCCCATCAGTGCAGCAGGATGAACGTTATTCCTTGTGATGGCTGCATGGTACAGAAATTCATTTTATGGGTATTTCCCTCAGTTTTCCAGCCTCCTCTTGAAAGGTATTTAAGTTGTTGTCAGCTTTTCAACATTTCAAGCAACTTCTGGGAACATTGTTATACAGATCCTTATGTGCACTATTGTGCCTGCAGAATAAATACCTAGGTATGAAATTGCTGGATCAACAGGTGTCAACACTGAACATTTTGGTAGGTAGTTCAAACCATACCGATTTGTACCTCCACCACGAATGAGGGCGGGTGCCCTATTTCTCCAGGCCCTCGCCTAGCACTGAATATTGCCAGTCCTTTCAAGCGGCCCTGTCTTTCATGTGCAAAGTGGTATCTTATTCATGCCTTTTTGTCATTTACTCAAGAAGCTTTCTGAACACCTCGGCCAGACACAAGGAATACAATTGCCAGCAAAGTGGCCCTGCCCAGCCCTCGTTCCCATGACAGTCTCATATGGAGGATAAATACTGTGTGAATACTTGATGAATGGGTAACCGTGACCTGTGATGAGAGCAAAGAAGAACGCATAAAGTAGCACCGAAAGGGAAGAGGAGCACGCCCCGTCCCGACCTAGGCTGGGAGGACAGGAAGGGCTCCCCTGCCCTATATGATTTTTTTTTTTTTTTTTGAGGAAGATTAGCCCTGAGCTAACATCTGCCACCAATCCTCCTCTTTTTTTAGCTGAGGAAGACTGGCCCTGAGCTAACACCCGTGCCCATCTTCCTCTACTTTATATGTGGGACGCCTGCCATAGCATGGCTTGCCAAGCAGTGCCATGCCCGCACCTGGAATCCCAACCGGTGAACCCCGGGCCACCAAAGCAGAATGTGTGTACTTAACCACTGTGCCACTGGGCCGGCCCCCGCCCTATATGATTTGACAGATCTGTAGAAGTGAGCTAGGTGATGAGAGCAAGTGGATTCCAGGTCAAGAGAATACTCTGTGCCAAGGCCCTGAGGCCTGGAGGGAGCACAGCTGATTCACAGACCTGCAGGACGGCTGGTGTGGAGGAGGCAGGTGGGGAGATTGGAGAATCGGCAGAGGCCACGACTTGCGAGGGACACTTGTGAGGATATAAGTATCCATACATCCTTACTTGCAAGTCTTTACTGAAGGAGCAATAAGAAGTCTTTGAAGGGAATGGGAAGCTGCTGCAGCCATCAGATGCTTCATCCTCAATAATTTCAGCATACACATCATTAACTCAAGTTCAATATTTGTTTATGGCTCTTTTTTTTAAGGTAAAGTTTATATATGACGAAATGCACCCATCTTAAGTGTATCACGAGTTTTGACAGTTGCACAAATCAGTGCATCCTCACTCCCTATCAAAATATAGAATGTGTCACCCCAGAAAGTTCTCCAAGCCCCTCTCCAGGTAATCCTGTATCCAGCCACCCCAGAGACAACTGTTCTGCATTTTCCTTCCCCGCAGATGAGTTTCGCCTGTTCTATAATGTCGTATAAATGGAATCATACAGAATGTACTGTTTGGTGTACTGTCAGAGCCTCCACTCTTTGACCAAGGGAAGTCTTGATGCACCCCCAAAAAAGCATACAGCAACCAGAACCCATTCATACCCCACTGCAGGGGACAATTATCTGAAGCCCATTTGGAAGAGTTCAAACGGCCTTGAGGTTTTGGCTGCTGTCCATGCCCCACCTTTAGTGGTTTGCTTTCGCCAGGAGTATATCAATGGCAGGGGACACATCCTCAGTAAGGGCATCAGTGCTGTTTAGCATGGGAGCCACCGTGTCCTTGCGATGATGGGTGGTCTCACTTGGGATCTCAACCAGATTCTCTCTCTGAGAGGCCCTGGTGC